GGCGAACGTCCACGCCCCCTGGTGCCCGGCCACCACCACAGGTTGGGGACCACTGACCTAGAGCGTTGGACTCCCATGCAGGAGACCGGAGTCCTGTTGTCAGTTCGGCCACTATCCCGCTGCCTAGTGGTGGGAAAATCATTGCTTCCTTCTGCCCCTCAGATTTTACCTTTAAAATGGGGGCAAAGAAAGAGGCATCCTTTATAAAGCACTGTGAGACCTCTCGATTCGAAAGCTACAGAAGAGCTCCATAGTGTGAAGATTAATGCAGTATCTGAAGTACCGGATGGGAGGGCAGGAAACCAGAGGGGCTGGGTCAGGGGCGTCTCTCTAGTGGCTCTGTGTCCCAAGCCTTCGCAGATCACTGGGAGACCTGGGTGTCTGCAGTTTCTTGCTCACTGGCCCAGGAAGGTGAGTGCAGAAGGGCTTCTATCCATCTACTGAGAACTGGACTGTCTCAAGCGATCGTCTTATGAACAGAGTGATGAGACAACCACTAGTAATAAAAAATAATATTATAGTTCTATTCTATGAGAGTTCATATATGGAGCTCATCCTCCAAGTATCCACCTTTTACAGAATACTTGAGAATTTGATATTAGCAATTGCTAGTCAATTATTAACTCATACTTTGGAGCAGAGTGGCAATATCTGGATGGATGTGTTCTTTGAAACATCATTTGGGATTCCACCATGACATGGACAGCTGGCTCAGTGTCTTGGAGTAACACGAGAGGTCCCCAGAAAACATTTGTAAGAATCGGCAAGATCCATAAGAGAGATCAGCCATTGCCTTTGTCTTCCTAGTTAGCCAGTCCAGGTGGGACTTTCTCGAATGAAGCCAGGGTCGGTGTGGTGTTGGGTAGCAGGACAGACATGTGAGAGGGTGTGGTGTGAAGAAGCCTGCTCTCAGGCATGACTCAGAGAGGGGGAATTTTATGGGACATAGCACCTACATTCCCAGAAAGCTGTCAGATTGAAGACAGGAATCGCAAGACTGTTTAAAGGATAAAGCACAAACATTTTCCAGTGTCCGGCTTATCCATACATGTATTAATGAGGACTGGACAATCTAAGGCAACTTCAGTTGACCCTACAAAAACAGACTCACAAATGTGTTCAACCAACACGCCAATCCCACAAACTCTTAGCAAAGGTAAAGACTGCATTTTCTCAAATCACACTGCTGACTTGACTCATAAGAAACACAAGTAAGATGTGTATTTCTATAAGGGTGTGAAATGAACAGAAGTTCAACACTGTGTCGATACAAGCACGAAGGTTTATGACGCACAGTGCTGGTGGAGTGTCACTTTGCTTCCTAGGCTCAGTGAGACTATGCAACAATGGATCACTATAGATTATATAGGGTGCCAATGGTTGGGAGAAACAACAGGGTGGGCATTCCCGACCCCTTGGATAGGTTCTAGCAGCGAGACTGTGACGTAGGGAGGTTCTGTCTGCTCTGTAATCCGGTGTTCCCATGCGCTGTGATGTGAGATTCCCACTGACTCACCCAAATGTATATTAACACAGACACCCAGGCCCAGCCCGAGGAGATAACAAGGCGCTTCTTAGAGGGAGAGACAAAGGGAGGGAGGCGAAGACGGACACTGGGTTTTGGGGGAAGAGGCAGTTGCTGGCTTGGAAACATTAAGGGAACAGCCTAAGCTGAGGGCTGAGAGTCTAGGGGCGATGGACCCCTACCCCCCTACCCCCTACTGACTCCAGTAACCACATCATTTCTATGCTGTGCTGTACCCTGGAGAAGCAATAAATCCTCTGTATTCGACTGGCTGGCGGAGTCTGTTCTGGGTGCTACAGGGCTGCAGGATTGGGGGGAACCCTGATGCAACGTCACAGTGTGATGGCGCGTTGTGGTTTTCCCATCTCCTGCACCCCCATAGTGCACAGACTCCACCAGCCAGTAGAATAGAGGGAGGTTATTGCTTCTCCACGATATAGCACAGCATAGACATGATGTGGACATAAGGAGTCAGGGGCTGGCAGCCCCGGCCCCCTCGGAGCCCCCTTCCCTAGGCTGCTTCCTCCATGATCCCAGCCAGAAAAACTAACTCCCTCACTTCCAGCCCAGCCCCCAGCCAGGGCTCCACCCCCCTTCTTCCCATTGTTCTGCTCTCTGGGAGATAACTCGTCAGACAGGTTCGAAGCCCCCTTGCATAATGACTCATCCCCTGCCCTGCTGGGCCGTGCTGCAGCCAGCAGCCAGTGGAGGTCACTCACAACCCACTGCCCAGCATAGCAACGAACAAGTACCCCCCACTATGTCACACACAGAGACATAATGATGCAATAAGCCAATAGTCTAAAAGATTTCATCATTGCTCTACCCATGGGTCACGTTTCCATGTATGCTAATAATCAGGGATTATGGCTCAAGTGTTATTTTTGCAGTAAGTACTTCTTTCTTTCTTTCTTTCTTTCTTTCTTTCTTTCTTTCTTTCTTTCTTTCTTTCTTTCTTTCTTTCTTTCGTGGCACACCTCCGACTGCATACTGGAGCACAGTTTGAGAAACACTGATCACCATTTGTACTAACGACCAAACCTCCCATTAAGCGTTCATAAGCCAGTCCCCAAGTTATGAATGGTTGATATATGACCATTCGTACTTACGACCAAACCTCCCATTTAGCATTTGTAAGCCGGTCCCCGAGTTGCGAACGTGATCCGCGCTTACGAACAGCACAGTTGCATTTAAATGCAGGGGGTCCGAATTACGAACACTTTGAGTTTCAAACAAGTGTTTGGTCCATAATTCGTTCGTAAATCGGGGACCAGCTGTAGATTAAATCCTGATTCCAGGTCCATTGAAATGATGGGTTGCATCTTCCGGACAGGTTTGCTCGCAGGTATGTTCCTCTGTGGTCTTAAATAAAAGAGAAGAGTAAACAATACACAGCATTGGCAATTTGTTGATCGATCACACCCCTTTGGATTGGATCGGCATCTGTGAGGGGTGGTTATTGCTACTCATGGTGGCCGTCTCCCCTCCCCAAATGCTGGCTGCTATGTGGGGAGGATATACTGCAATCTCCTCCTGAACTTGAGAAGCAGACATTTGAGGCCACTCTCGACGAGTTTTGTGTCTATCATTCACGACAAGGTCCCAACTACTGCTCTGCACCTGACGTTCTGCTGTCTCAGCTTGTTTCATACCTGGTTCTACAAACAAGGCCTTCTGGGATTTGGGCCCTTCACCTAGGGAGGGGGTGAAATCTCCATCCCTGGAGGTTTTTAAGTCCCAGCTTGACCAAGCCTTGGCTGGAATGATGGAGTTGGGGTTGGTCCTGCTTTGGGCAGGGGGCTCAACTTGATGCCTCCTGAGGTCTCTGCCAGCCCTGGGATTCTATGAGAGGACATAAAAGCGTTCAAGTTTCTAAAACAGCTGTTACAAGGAGAGAGGAACATTGTTCTCTTTGGCCTCTGAGGGTAGGACAAGAAGCAATGAGCTTAAATTTCAGCAAGGGAAGTTAAACACTGGAATAAATTGCCTGGGGAGGTTGTGGAACCACCATCAATGGAGATACTGAAGAGCAGGTTCAACAGACAGTGATCAGTGTTTCTCAAACTGTGCTCCAGTGTGCAGTCGGAGGTGTGCCGCGAAAGAAAGAAAGAACGAAAGAACGAAAGAACAAAAGATCCTGTTTTCAAGGACTCAGATGGGCCATGTGTAAAGAAATACAACACTTCATATCTACTTTATTATAAACCAGAATGTGACCTTTCACACTTCAGGCCTGTGTCTGAAAGCAGCCACTTTCAGAAGAACATTCCTCAGGGCCTGATGGACCTCCTTGTTTCTGAGGCAGTACAGGACAGGGTTGAGCAAGGGGATCATGATTGCAAACCAGAAAGACATAATTTTGTGCACAATCGCAGGAGCATTGAACAGCGTAACGACATAGACTGCCATTACACTCACATTGTAAACTATCACCACAATGAGATGGGAGGAGCAGGTGGAAAAGGCCTTTTTCCTCCCAGTGCTGGAAGGAATTCTCAGGATGCTGGCGATGATGCAAATATAGGACATCAGGGTCAGTAGAAAGACCCCAATAGTCAATATGATGGACAAAAAAAAAGCCAGCAGTTGCAGAGTCCTTGTGATGGGACCACAGAACGCATCTGCAACGACTGCAAAATCACAAAAGAAATGGTCGATGTCTTTGGGACCACAGTATCTTGATTGCAAAATGAATATGTGCATCATGATGCAGTAGGAAATGCCGAATATCCAGGCCCAGGACACCATGTGGCAACAGACCCAGCCGGTCATAAGAGGGGCATAGCGGAGGGGATGGCAGATCGCTAGATACCGATCGTAGCACATGGCCGTGAGCAAGAGACATTCTGCATTGGAGAGGATAATATAGAAATAGAATTGCACATAGCAGTCGTGTAGAGAAATGGTTCTGTCCCCCGTCGCGAGACTGGCCAGCAGCCTGGGCAGGGTGGTGGAGACGTAGCAGATCTCAACAGAGGACAAGTTGGCCACAAAGTAGTACATGGGGATGTGAAGGTGCCGATCAGCCACCACTAGTGCAATGATGAGGAAATTCCCAGCCACAGCTGCAAGGTAGATCACCAGAAACAGCAGGAAGAGGAGGGGCTGCAGTTCAGGGCCGTTTCCAAACCCGACAAGGATCAATTCCACAATGGGTGTTTGATTCCGTTGTTCTGCTTTTTCCATGTTTTGGATCTAGAAACAAAAAGGCATGAAATAGTCACAGTAGAAATAGACAGCTGGTGCGGTTGGCTACATTCCTGCAAAGCTTTTGGCAGTAGTTTTGTGCCTCCGCATCTCACCACTTGAAAAATGAAGTTATCCATTAGCAGAGGAAGACACATTCCATTAAACTGGCAAGCTTCCAAAATAGGGGAACCTAGAATATTGAATCTTAATGAATGACAGAAACGCCCTACCTCACTGCCTTGGTCTTTAACTAAATACTTTGAGGCTTCATTATCTCAGTGTCCTATCGGCCAATCTAGAGGACAGAGCAAAAATGAGTGGATTGGAAATGGAGGATATTTAATGTTCAACCAGGGATACATCTACCCTACAGCTGGGAGGCGTCATTCCCAGCTAGGATCTAGTTACCAGGGTAAAATTGTCAGGGAGAACAGGTCAGCAGAGACAGTTTTATGGGATTCACCCCTGTGTACGTCTGTTGGATCTCAGATGGCATTGGGTCAGGGCATCTGGTCTGTGCTGCCGATGCTACATGGCTATTTTGAGCACAAGAGCACAAAGACTTTCTGTTCAGCTCTAGCAGAGCAGGGATTTGCCCTTTCAAAGTTAAGCACGGATACACATCATAAGACAAAAAGCAAAATACTAAAGACCTATGGTTTGTATGAGGGGTCCTTCAGTGATCCCCTATCCTAGCAGGTTCAAAGAAAAATTATTGCACCATTTGAGAGGCTATAAATTGGTCTCAGATTCTCCAGGGTAAATTGCATCAGGTTTATGTCGATTTACATAGGCAGAACAGAGATTCAAATTCAAACCCACATCCAGGAAATAAACATGAGAACTCATCACAAAAGAAAGAAGAAAGTGATTGTTTTCATCCAGATGTGAGAACGTGCCTGGTGAAAAGTGAAAAAGTGGAGAAGAAAGAAGAGCTGTATAGACAGAAAATGTATGTCTAGACTACGGGCTTTTGTCAACAGAAGTTTTGTCGACAGATACTGTCGACAAAGCTTCTGTCGACAAAGAGCATCCAGATTACACCCAGTTCTGTCGACAAAGCAAGCCGCTTTGTCGACATCGCAGTGTAGACGCAAAGGACAGTGTAGATGCAATAATGCCTTCTGTCGACGGAACTCTGTCAACAAAAGGCGTTATTCCTCGTAGAATGAGGTATACAGCCGTCAACAAAACTGCTGAGTTCTGTTGACGTTACGTCAACAGAACTCAGCGGCAGTGTAGACGCAGGTATAGTAGCCTACACACACCCAAAGAGTGCAAAATTGAGTGTGAAAAAGGGATTACGTCCAATCGGCATCCCAAAATAGCTACCCTGCGTCTACATAAGCTGCCCATTATGTTGAAATATTTTTCAATATAGTGGGCATGCTTTTTTGCCACCCTGGTAAACTTCGTTGCGCAAGGAATAAAGTATGGCTCGAAATAGTGTCTTATTTGAAAATTTGGTTCTGTGTAGATACCCACATTTCAAAATAAGATATTTCAAAAGAGAGTTGAAATAAGATAAGCAATTTGCGTAGTTGCTCTTCCTTAGGTATGTTTCCCCTGTAACCCATTTGTGATCGGTGCCCCCACGTTGTTCCTTGGTACTGGTGTTTCATGGAGCGCCCTCACCCACCAGTCTGGCATCAGACACACACTAGGCAGCTGTGGGAAGCTACAGACTTGCTCATGGTCCTACACCTTCTCCAAATACTCAGAGCTCAGTCAACTTGTGTAACTCCTTGCCAGAGGATGTGGGGAAGGCTAGAACTTTAAAAGGGTTCAAAAAAGAGCTAGATAGATTCATGGAGGTTAGGTACATAAATTAGTCAGGATGGGTAGGAATGGCGTTCCTAGCCTCTGCTTGTCTGGAGGCGGGTGACAGAGGAGGGATCAAGTGATGATCCCTGTTGTTTCCCCTCACTCTGGGGCATCCGATATTGGCCACTTTGGGCTGACAGGATACTGGTTTGGATGGACCATTGGTCTGACCCAGTCTGGCCCTTCTTATCTTCTTAGGTATCATCTACACGGGTTTGGATACACCCGGCTGTAGTTACACACCGGCTCTTTGACGAGCCGCGGAATGAAACAGCAATGGGGAAGCAACCATAAGGATAGCCACCTGACACCACCGCTGTACGACCCTCGTCAGGTCAAACCACCCACCAGTAGGACTTTGTTATCCCATTTGCCTCTCCGTCCGTGTGAAGTGGAAGGTGACCACTTGTACTCGCCACGCTGAGATTTCCCCCCACACACTAAATTTGAAGGCTCACCAGTTTAGGTAAAACTACAAACAAGTTTGTGAATGACAAGGGATCACAGCAGATTACCAGGAAATAAACAGCACACACAAAGGAAGCCAAACAGCGTCTCAGAATCAGAAGGAACAAGCAGATTCCCAACTTGCCTGGTCATAACCAGCCGCCAGGCAGATTCTCAAAGCACAAGTTGTATTTGCTTTGCCGCTTGGGTTTTTCAGACTTCCGTATGCCAGCGGGAAATCCCCATCGCCCGGTTCCCGCACGGCCCTCGGTTCAGTCTTCCTTCCGCCGAACGTTCCAGGAGTCCTCCTTCACAGGGATTGAAGAACTGCTGACCTCACTCTGCCTTTTGTAGCTTTAGAAAAAAATGGGGACCCTTTGTTTCAGCTATGGCTCCCTAGAGCGGGCTGTGGAAAAACACAGACATCCCAAGATGGAGCCCAAAGTCACATGGGCTGAGCACATGGCCCTGTAGAGTCATGAGTTAATCACAGGCTCTCTGGAGCATTCCCAAGAAGACTCACCAGGAGGGATAAGCTTCTCCTGAGATCTGTTATTTTGCCTTATGCTCATTGTGCTCAACAACTCTTCCCAACGGTCAGACTAGCACCTTCCCGAGTGGGAGGTACCCAGCTGTAAAAACATTGGAAGTAAAGATACTTAATCTATACTCATAAGTACAGATACAAAAACAAGGCACAAATACAGATACAACTAGGAGAACCCTATTCAGGAAATTGTGACCTGGCTGGAAGAAATGCTACATTTTCATGCTCTAATCCCATCATCAGACAACTTGAAGAAATTGGGATGTAGGGTCACAGACTCTACCTTCTTCCACTCCCTCCTTGGCTTGACCAAGAAATCATGTTCCTTCTGAGATGGTGGATGCCTTAGTAGGCACTTTCCCTTTCTAATTACAGCACCCATGTTATGTTCACCTTCAAACTTACTATCCTTTGCCAGCTGCACTCTGACCCCAGCCCTACCTTCCAATTTTATACAATTTAAAAATGTAGGGTAAAGACGGTCTCTGCTGCCATTGGTAGACTTCAGTTATCTCTGTAGGCTGAGCTTTGGTTCCTACCAATCCAACAGCACTGCTCAGTGTATTTCGTCCTTATTCCTTTCCACAGAAGTTAGTGTCTCCCCTAACTGTCAATTCCTCCTTCATCTGAAATGATGTCATCTCGTATTTCTAAGAGTGGGAAGTGGAAACAGTTGCAGAGAGGAAAGTTCATATTTATTTTGATGGAAACAAAGCACAATGGTATAGGACTAACGTATGACTAACCCCAAGGGGAAAGCAAGGAAAACAATAGATGTAAAAGAGGAATAATGGAAGCAGGAGAAGTTTTCACCCAAAGACAAAGCAAAAAGGAAAAGAAACGTCTCATTCAATGGAAATTGAAGCCCGGACAACTGATATCAGTAGAAATCTCTGTTCTTCTGATGGATTAGATGAGAAGGTCTCTTGCTTCAGCTCTCCATACACTCCTTGTAGAGATCAGCGATGCTTAAAAATCTCCTTTACTCTACTGAATATGCAATTTCCTCTTCCTGGCTGACCCCTTCACACACTTACAGCTGTGATTTGGAGCCTCCAGGAATAAACTTATTCCAGTTATAATCCGGATCTGATACCAACATAGTGATAAACCACGTGCATGGACCACACCTTGAGTTAGCCACTTCATGAAACATGGTGGGACAGACTGAAAGTGAATAAGAAACATTCACCAAGTTCCCAGAACTAAAGGGAACGTGTCCATGGGCATGTGCCCGGCCCCCATTTAACCCAGCCCAGTGTGTTTGCCCCTTTGGATCTCAGAGCCCCAGGCACGTGCTGGCCGAGGGGTGCCTGGAGCTCTGCAGCTGGTGTGGAGACACAATGGGGCAGGGTGTATGTGTGTGGGAGTCAGTCCAGGCAAAGCAACAACTGCACAATCCCTCTGGCACAGGACAGTCCCCCACAAACGCGAGCAGCTCTGCTTCCCTGGGCAGCTCTGCAGCTGGGGTGTGTCTAGACTACATGCCTCTGTCGACGGAGGCATGTAGATTAGCCAGATCGGCAGAGGGAAATGAAGCCGCTT